GCCTCTGGGACCTCAGCCTACTTTTCCACTTAGTGGCCACTGGCACCTCAGCCACCTTCTCTACCTTGGTGGCCTCTGGCCCCTTGGCTACCACCTTCACATGAGTGGCCTCTGGAACCTCAGCCACCTTCTCTACCTTGGTGGCCTCCCTTAGCTATCACCTTCACATGAGTCTCCTCTAGTACCTAAAGAATCTCCTCGTGACCTCTCAGCCCTCAGCTACCTCCTTCCCCTAGGTTTTCTCTAGTACTTTGGCCACCTCCTTCACTTGGCTGACCTGCTGTCTCAGCTGACACTCAACCTTCACCTGACTGTCCTCTCGGACTTCACCCCCTCCTCTGGTCATGTGGCCTCTGAGACCTCGGCCACCACCTCTCAATGCACCACTTGATGTGTTGATTTGAACTGTATAAAGTAATTTGTAAAAAAAAATTCATCTCTTCTTTTTTGAGTGAATAGAAATTGAGTGAATAGAAAGAAGTGTCACAGGTGGTACTGCAGGGCTTTGCAGTACAAGGGTAACACCGGCTGAGATCCTGGTCACTTTTCTCAGGTTTAGTGAGAGTACACAGTCGGTTGCATTATTTCCTCATCATGAGTTTGGCAGCGGGTATGTCTTGTAGATAAAGACAGATTTTTTATTTTTTGTGGGGACAGAGTCTCCCTGTGTCACCCAGGCTGGAATGCAGTGGTGCAATCCTGGCTCAGTGAAACCTCCATCTCCAGGATGCGCATGGACTGGGGCTGAGCCAGTTATTGCCTGAGTGTGATGGGGACAGCTGGAAGCCTGCGGGCCAAGTATTGCACTTATAAAACAATCCTCATCGAACCACAGGCCACCTAGAGGGTATGGGCTGGCAGGGCTCAACAGCTGGCTCCTCTGGGCCACTGGGCCGCCCTGTCCCTGTTTTACAGCTAGGGGAACTGAGGCACCGAGGTGAAGGGAGCCCCTCGCACGGGAGGCCACAGCCGGAGACAGAGGGAATGGGGGTGGGTGCAGGGGGCTGAATGGGGATGGCCAGGGCCTCGAAGGGGCTGTCCCGCTGCCCAGCCGTTCAATCCGACTAAGGCTAGCATATGTCTGGTCTATGGCTTTTGGGCGGGCTGGCTGCCAGGGCAGCGCAATGTCAGGGCTTTGGTCTGGATGACCACCTGGATGACAGCCTCACCCCTCCCCACCTGGCCTTACACGGCTGTTGGTGAGGGTCACAAGTTGGAGAAGAGGTACAAGCCTGCAAAGTCCTGGGGTTCCAGGCCGCTGCCACACGCCTGGCAAGGCTGAGTCCCTGCAGTTCAGGCTGGGTGTGGAGGCCCAGGCAGTGGGCATGGGCCCCAGGCCTGGTATGGAGCTTCTGGCTGGACTGGAGGAGACCATGGGGCTGGGCATGCTGTGGCTCTTGCCCATATGGAATTATTTGGGATTTTTGTTTTTGAGTTGTTTTTCTTTTTAAATCGCTCTATCACCCAGGCTGGAGTTCAGTTGCACAATCTCGGCTCACTGCAACCTTCACCTCCCAGGTTCAAGGGATTCTCCTGCCTCGGCCTCCCTAGTAGCTGGGGATTACAGGCACTTGCCACCATCCCTGGCTAATGATTTGTATTTAGGTAGACACAGGGTTTCACTGTGTTGGCCTGTCTGATCTAGAACTCCTGACCTCAAGTGATCTGCCCGCCTTGGCCTTCCAAAGTGCTGAGGCTACAGGCATGAGCTACTGCTCCTGGTTTACTCTGTTTCTATTTAATTTTAATTTCTTTATGATTTGTTTTCTATGCAGAAGCTTTGTAGCTTGATGTAACACTATTTATTTTTGCTTTGGTTGCCTGTACTTTTGATGTTTTACTCAAAAAATCTTTGCCTAGGCCAGTGTTCTAAAGCATTTCCCCAATGTTTTGTTCCAGTAGTTTCGTAGTTTCCTTTTTTGTTTTTCTTTAAGACAGAGGCTCACTCTGTTGCCCAGGCTGGAGTGCAGTGGCACGATCTCATCTCACTGCAACCTCCTCCCCTCCGGGTTCAAGCGATTCTTCTGTCTCAGCTCCGTGAGTAGTTGGAATTACAGGCATGCGCCATCACGCCTGTCGCTTTTGTATTTTTAGTAGAGATGGGGTTCTCCATGTCGGTCAGGCTGGTCTCAACTCCCAACCTCAGGGCATCTGCCGACCTTGGCCTCCCAAGTGCTGGGATTAGAGGCTTGAGCCACTGCACCTGGCCTAATTTTTGTATTTTTAGTACAGACAGGGTTTTATCATTTTGGCCAGGATAGTCTCGAACGCCTGATCTCAGGCAATCCATCTGCCTCTACCTGGGGTGGGATTACAAGCGTGAGCCACCACACCTGGCCTGTAGTTTCTTCAATGTAAGTTTTTAATTAATTTTGATTTGATTTTTATATATGCCGAAGCATGGGGGCTAGTTTTATTCTTCACACGTAGATAGCTCTCATTTTCCCAGCACCACTTACTCAAGACACTGTCTGTTCCCAAGGTGTGTTCTTGGCACCTTGGTGAAGAACAAGTTGGATGTAAATTCACGGATTCATTTCTGGCTTCTCTGCTGTGTTCAACTGGCCCATGAAATTCGTCCCTTTTGATATTATAAAGTCCCCATTTTCCCATTTCCATCCTGTCAATCTTGCTGTGTTTGGGCCAAACAGGGCCAGTAGAACCCAGAACTCGACGTGGACTGGTGAGGCCAGGGCCTCATTAGGGAGCTCAAGAAATCTGTGCTCGGGTTCTTGGTTTGCAGGGAGGACCAAATCCCCATCGATGACCCCTCAAAAACACCATTAGGGAAACCACAGTGGGAAACAGCTTGAGAAATAGAATCTGTGTCAGATCCAACATTTCCTCACACTCATGATTGCATGACTGGGACACCTTAGCAGGAGGAACCAGAAGAGCACCCTCTTCAGCTGCGTGCCCAGGTCCCCTTTGGGTCACCTAGGGCATGAGGCTGGAAGCAGGGGTGTCTGGGATAGGTGCAGGCTATGGTCAAGGGCAGCGGGGCTGGAGGGTGCTGGGCAGTGGTAGGGTGGTGGTAGTGAAAGATCTAGGGCAGGGCAGAGATCAGGAGGAACAGCACTCCAGCAGGGTTCAGAGACAGGTCAGTAGGTCAGCAGACCTAGGAGCATGTGGCCTGGGACTCAGAGGAGCAGCTGGAGTTGGAGGAGAAGGGCCCTGTTTTCCTCCAGTCTTCCTCTGGGTGCTGCAAATAGACTCACTCTCTGAATCTTTGAACCCTTTCCTTCATTCCCAGCATGCACCTTCTTCTTCTTCTTTTTTTTTTTTTTTAATTGAGACAGAGTCTCACTCTTGTTGCGCTCAGGCTGGAGTGCAGTGGCATCATGTCAGCTCGTTGCAACTTCCACCTCCCAGGTTCAAGGAATTCTGCTTCAGCCTCCTGAGTAGCTGGGATTAATGGTGCACACCACCATGCCTGGCTAATTTTCGTATTTTTAGTAGAGACAGCCGGGCTGGTCTCGAACTCCTGACCTCAGGTGATCCGCCAATCTCGGCCTCTCACCGTGCCCAGCTGCAGCATGCACCTTCTTAAGGACAGTTCCTTTCTGGATTCTTCTAAGCTTCTGATTTCTCATCTTTCCTAACCCAGCTCACTGTCCTCGCCCCCCCATCACCTGCTCCCCACCGCCCCCCCCCAATTCTGCCTCACTTTCTCCTTTCCTGATTCCCACCATTTCCCACAATCAGTCCTGGCCTCAGATTCCCGCCCTTCAAGTTCTGGTGTTCCTTGGGTCCTCCCTCTCCCCGATCCTCTCTGATTAGGGGTGGGGGTGTGAGCTGGAATTAAAGGCCAGCCTGGATTGGAGTCCTGGGGCTGGATTCTGCATTGTGCTCCGCTGTGTCATTGCACCTTCTCGTTCACGCCCTTTCTGCTGCTTCAGCCTCTTGATGCTCTAACCCCGCCAGCGGATGCTGACCCCGCTGGTGGAGCGCGCTCCTTCCCCACTGCTGCTTCTCCAGCTCCATCTCTCCATCTTCTGCTCCTGGCCTTTCCTGGCCCAGGGCCGGAGCTCTGAGTTCCAGACCTTTTCCGGGGCACTGTCCTGCTTCTCCTCGTCACCTCAGGGCAGTGGCCGTGGGCTCCTCCTCCAGCTGCTGCGGGCCTGGGCCAGCCGGGTCAGTGTCGCGGCGCCCGCCCCGGGGTGGCTGCAGCAGGTGCAGCCGCCCCGGGCACCCCATGGAGGCTGGTGTGGCGCCGCCTGGAGGCTGGTGTGGGCGCCGCCTGGAGGTTGCTGTGGCGCCCCTTGGAGGTTGCTGTGACGCTTATTGGTGCCCGGCGCCCAGACTGGGTCTTCCCGGCCGCGTCGCTGCTGCCCCCTTCCGGGGTGGCGGGGTCAGGGTTCCACGCGGCTCCATCTTCTCTTGAGGCGCCTTCGCTCCTCCCGGAAGTCAGCGGTGCCGCCCCCGAGGCTGCTGCTGCCCAGGTCGCCACATTCCCCGCGGGCCGGCTGGGCTCTCGCCTCAGGCCGCCCACCCCGCCCCGGCCGCCGCCGCCTCTGCCTTGCAGCTGCGGGAAGAGGCGATGGAGCGACCTCCAGGCCCCGGGAGGCCGCGGCTCCCACAGCAGCCGGCGGACTGAGAAGAAAGCACCAGGAAGCAGAAGGTTCTCGCCGGCCCGAGGGTCGCTTTGGGCTGCACGCCTTGGTTCCTGCCTGCGAGCGGCTGCTGGGACCCTCCCTGCCAAGTTGCTCCCCGAAAAGCTGTAAGGCTCTCGGGTCTGCAGGGAGGGACCCTTTCCCCTCACTGTGAGTCTGCAGACTCGGAGCCAGGCGGATCACGAGGTCAGGAGGTTGAGAGCAGCCTGGCTACCGCGGTGAACCCCGTCTCTTCTAAACATGCCAGAAATGAGCCAGGCCTGGTGGCACACGGCTGAGGTCCCAGCTACTCAGAAGGCTGAGGCCGGAGAATCGCTTGGACCCGGGAGGCGCAGGTTGCAGTCAGCCGAGGTCGCACCACTAAACTTCAGCCTAGGCGACAGAATGAGACTCCATCTCAAAAAAAGAAACAGGTAAGGATGCGCACTCATGAGACAGTCATCTGTATTCTGTTCTGTGGTTCATGAGCTGTCGTGGCTCTGGAATAGTCTCTATTACATAGACTCTGGCCAAACCAATCGGACCTTTTAAAAAACATTTGTTTTGAGAGGCAGAGGTGGAGAAAAAAAAATTCTTTTAAATTTAAATTGAACTAAATTTTTTACCCCCCAGAGACAGGCTCTCACTCAGTCGCCCAGGCTGGAGTGGCGTGGCACTATTACAGCTCCCTGCAGCTTGAGACTTGTGGGATTACACCTTGGACCTGGCTCTGCCCCCTCAGTAGCAAGGATTTTAGGCATGCCCCACCACACCTGGCTCGTTTTTAAAAATTATTTTTTGTAGAGATGGGGATCTTACTATGTTGTGTCCAGGCTGATCTCCAACTCCTGGAGTGAACACGTTCTCTTGCCTCGGCCTCCAGAGTGTTGGGATTATAGGCGTGAGCCACTGAACCTGGCCCAGACCTTTTCTTGTTAGAAGTCTGGACTTTGCTCCCAGTTCAAAGGGAGATTCCCTGTCCTGTAATTCCCAGTCTCTTTGAACAGGACAGATAAAAATGTGTTTTACTGATAACAGAACTACTAAATATATGAAGCAAAAATGTGCAGAAAAGGAGACAGATTCAGCAACATATTTGGGGATTCTAACACCCTAAAAATGTATTAAGGATATAAAAAATCTGAATTACCCTGTCAACCAGCTTTTGCTAATTGACATAAATAGAATACTACCTTCAGTGACTGTTAAAAATGCTGTTGGCCAGGCGTGGTGGCTCACGCCTGTAATCCCAGTGCCTTGGGAGGCCAAGGCGGTCGGATTGCTCAGGAGCTGGAGACCAGTCTGGCCAATGTGGTGAAACCCCGTCTCTACTAAAAATACAAACAAATTAACCAGGCGTGGTGGCGTGCACTTGTAATCCCATCTACTCAGGAGGCTGAGGCAAAGGGAGGTGGAGGTTGCAGTGAGCTGAGATTGCACCAGCTGCGCAACAGAGCGAGACTCCAACTAAAAAAAAAAAAGGTTTTTTCGAGTGCACAATGAATATTTGCCAAGAGAGACCTTGTACTGAATCCAAAAATAAGTCTCTTGGCTGAGCACGGTGGCTCACGTCTGTAATCCCAGCACTTTGGGAGCCTGAAGCAGGCGGATCACAAGGTCAGGAGACTGAGACCATCGTGGCCAACATGATGGAACCCCGTCTCTACCAAAAATACAACAACAAAAAAAATTGCTGGGCATAGTGGTACATGCCTGTAGTCCCAGCTACTCAGGAGGCTGAGGCAGGAGAATTGCTTGAACCCAGGAGGCAAAGATTGTGCCACTGCACTACAGCCTGGGCTACAGTGAAAGACTGTCTCAAAAAAAAAAAAAAAAAAAAAAGAAGTCTCTTAATATCAACTGATGGAAATGTTATGGAGTATTCTGTTCTCTGACAATACTGTAATGAAATTAGTAATCAATAATAATAAGATAACTAGAAAATCTCCAAATGCTTGGGAATTAAATAGCACACTTCTTTATTATCCATGTGTCAAAGATTAAATCACAAGAATCTTAGAAAACATTTGAAGTGAATGGTAACAAAAACATGGAAATTAATGGAATACATCTTAAGCAGCTATGGGGAAAAATCTCCATATTAAAGACTTACTGTAACAAAGAAGACAGTTTTAAAATCAATCATCTAAACCAGGAGTTGATAGACTTTTTCTGTAAGGGTTCAGGTAGGAAATATTTGAGGCTTTGAAAGCCATATAAGTCTGTCACATATTCCCCCCAGCCCCAACCATTTAAAAATATAAAAACCAGACTGGGTGCAGTTGCTTGCGCCTGTAATTCCAGCACTTTGGGAGGCTAAGGTGGGTGGATCGCTTGAGATCAGGAGTTTGAGACCAGCCTGACCAACATAGGGGAAACCCTATCTCTACTAAAAATACAAAAGTAGCCAGCATGGTGGTGTGTGCCTCTAATCCCAGCTACTTGGGAGGCCGAGGCAGGAGAGTTGCTTGAATCTGAAAGACGGAGGTTGCAGTGAGCCAAGACACCACTGCACTCCAGCCTGGGTGACAGAGTGAGGATTCATCTCAAAACAAAAACAAAAACAAAAACAAAAAACGTAAAAATCCATTCTTAGGTGGGAAGCAATACATAAAGATCATGGGCATGATTTAGTAGTTTGGCAAACCCTGATCTGTGCTTCCATCTTAAGATTCTAAAAAAGAAAAATAAATCGAAAAGAATGAAAGAGGTAAAGATAATAGTCAATTAAATAAAAAAGGGGCCAGACACAGTGGTGCATACCTTAGAGGCCAAGCTGGGCAGATCACTTGAGCTCAGGAGTTTGAGACCAGCCTAGGCAACATGGTGAAACCTTATTTCTTTTTCTTTCTTTTTTTTTTTTTTTGAGACGGAGTTTTGCTCTTGTTACCCAGGCTGGAGTGCAATGGCGCGATCTTGGCTCACCGCAACCTCTGTCTCCTGGGTTCAAGCAATTCTCCTGCCTCAGCCTCCTGAGTAGCTGGGATTACAGGCACGCACCACCATGCCCAGCTAATTTTTTGTATTTTTAGTAGAGACAGGGTTTCACCATGTTGACCAGGATGGTCTCGATCTCTCGACCTCGTGATCCACCCGCCTCGGCCTCCCAAAGTGCTGGGATTACAGGCATGAGCCACCGCGCCCGGCCCTTTTTTTTTTTTTAAGATGGAGTCTTGCTCTGTCACCAGGCTGGAGTACAGTGTGTGATCTTGGCTCACTGCAACCTCTGTCTCCTGGGTTCACGCTATTCTCCTGCCTCAGCCTCCTGAGTAGCTGGGATTACAGGCATGAGCCACCATGCCCAGCCATAATTCAGGATTTCTAACAAGTTTCCCAGTGATTCCAGTGCTGCTGGTCTTTAGAACATAATTTTGTAAGCAAGGATACTTAAAGTTAAAAAGTAATGTGAGCTTTTTCTTATTTCTGTTTTTTAAGACAGAGTTTTAATGTAGACCATGCTTTTGTAAGCAAGGAGACTACTTAAAGCTAAAAAGGAATATGATTTTTTATTATTGTTGTTATTTCTGTTTTTCTGAGCCAGGGTCTTACTCTGTTACCCAGCCAGAATGTAGTGATATGATCTTAGTTCACTGCAACTTGCGTCTCCCGGCTTCAGATGGTTCTCCAGCCTCAGCCTCCTGAGTAGCTGGGACAATGAACCACAAGGCGGGGCTATTTTTTGTGTGTTTAGTAGAGACGGGGGTTTCACTATGTTGACCAGACTGGTCTCCAACTCCCTACCTCAAGTACTGGGATTACAGATGTGAGCCACCTCGCCCAGCCTCTCCTTCTTTCAAAGAAATTGTTTGGATAATAACATGGTCCTTAGAAGGAATTCTCTCTTACATTTCATATTAATGTTTCTCCTCTCAAATTAGGCTGATAGCTTAAGTGCCCAGGCTACAAAATTTGTTTCCTTGTCATGCACAAATAACATACACACAGTGCCTCAGTATTTTTCCATTCCCTGACCTCAAATGCCATGTACATAAGCTTGAATACGTTGCCGTGTGCCCCCCACAACCAGGGGGTGTGGTGTATATTCTTTGTGATATTAGGAGTAATATCATCCTCTCACCTCGTGGATATTACAAACAATATCACAAGGTGGGTATACAACCCCTGCGATATTGGAAGTAATAATATCCTCTTTCCCCCTAAATATTGTGAATCATATTAGAGTGGAGTTTACACCTCCTGCCATATTAGAAGTTGTATCATCCTTTCCCACACTGGACATGATGAAAAATATCACAGGGGAATGTACACCCCTTCCCTATGCAGAGTAATATCATCCTGTCTTCTGCTGGATATTATGAACAGTATCACAGGGGATTGTACACACAGGGTGTTTGCGATATTGCAAAAAATGTCCTCTCATGCCCTGCATATTACAAACAATTTCCCAGGAGGGTGTGCACCCTCTGCAATGTGGCAAGTAATACCATCCTCTTGCCCTATGAGTGTTATGAACAATATCGCAGAGGTGTGAACACGATATGGGAAGTAACATCATTTTCTTCCTTCCTGGATATTATGAACAATATTGCAGAGGGTGTACACCATATCACAATATGGGTGTATATTCCCATATTGCAGGGGTGTACACCCCCTGTGATTTGAAAAGTAACATCATCCTTCCCCCCCAAATATTATGAACAGTATCACAGAGGGGTGTACACGTTCTGTGATATGAGAAGTAACATTATTCTCTCCCCCACCAGATATTATGAACAATATCGCAGGAGGGCGTACACCCCTGCAATGTGTGGACTAACATCATCCTCTTTCCCCCTGGGCATTATGAACAACATTGCAGGGGGCTGTCCACAGTCTGCGATATTCGGACTCACACGATCCTCTCCCCCACCGAACGTTACAAACAGTATCACAGGTTGTCCACCCCTGCGATATGGGAGTAACATCATCCTCTCCCCTCCTGGACATTACGAACAATATCGCAGGAGGGTGTACACCGCTCGTGATATGGGTAGTAATGTCATCTTCTTTTCCCCTGGATGTTGTGGACAGTATCACAGGGGTGTATACCCCCTGCGATATGGGAGTAACAGCCTCTCCCCGCCCCGCCCCGATGTTACAAACAATATTGCAGGGGGTGTACACCCACTGTAATATGAAAAGCAGTATTATCCTCTCCCACCCTGGATACTACGAACAATATCACAAGGGTGTGTACATCCTCTGCGACACTGAGGAAAGTGTCATTGTCTCTCTCCTTGGACATAAGGAACAATATCACAAGAAATTGTACACCCCTGCGATATTGGGAGGAACATCATCTTCTCCTTCCCTGGATATTATGAACAATATCATGGGGGGATGTACACCTTCTGTGAGGTTAGGAGGAACATTATCCTCTCCTCACCGAGGTAATGAACAGTATTACAGGGAGATGTACACCCAATGCGACATTGGGAAAAATATCCTCTCCTCCACTTAATGTTAAGAACAATATCACAGAGAATGTGGACATTATCTGCGATATTAGGTGGGATATCATCCTCTCTCCCTGCCCCCAGATATTATGAACAATATCACAGAAGGGTGCACAGATTCTGTGATATTGGGAAGAATATCATCCTCTCTCTCCCTCCCCCAGATATTACGAACAATATCACAAGGAGGTGTACACCCCTTGCCATATTGGGAGGAATATCCCCTCCCCCTCTAAATATTATGATCAGTCTCACAGGGAAATGTGCACCCCCTGCAATATTGGGAGGAATATCATCCTCTCCTTCTTGGGATATTATGAACAATTTCACGGGGAAATGTGTATTCCTGAGATAGAGGAATATCAGCATCTCCCCTCCTGGATATTTGAAGAATATCACAGGTGGGTGTACACCTTCTGCAGTATTGGGAGTAGTATCATCCTCTCCCCCTTGGATATTACAAAAATATCACAGAGGGTGTACACACAAAGTGCTTACAATATTGGGAATAATATCTCCCCTTCTTGATATTAGGAGCAATATCATAGGGGGTATACACTCTGCAAGATTGACAGTCATGTTATCCTTTCCATGCATGGATATTATGAGCAATATCACAGGAGGGTGCAGATTTCCTGAAATATTGGAAGGAATATTACCCTCTCCCCACCTGGATATTACGAACAATATCACAGGGCATTGTACCCCCCGCCCCCATGATATTGGGAAAAATATTATCCTCTCCCCCCACTGGATATTATGAACAATATCACTGGGGGTGTACAACTCCTGCAGTATCGGGAGGAATATCATCCTCTCCCTTCCTGGATATTATGAACAGGATCCAAGAAGGGTGTGCAGTTCCTGCGATATTGGGAGGAATATCATCTCCTCCTCCCCTTAATATTATGAACAATATCACTTGGGGGTGTACACTCCCTGTGACATTAGGAGGAATATTATACTCTCCCTCCCTGAGTACAGCAAACAATATCACAGCGGGATGTACATGCCCTGCGATGTTGGGAGGAATAGCATCTTCTCCCCCACTGGATATTATGAACAAGATCACAGACCTTTGAGTTCTCTCATCAGGAGAAACTGGAATTGCTGGGTCCAAAGCGTTTGGGAAGTTTGGAGTGATTCTTGTTGCAGGGGGAAGAGGGAACTAAGGACGTGTCACTGAACTTTCAGGGGTTCCGGGATCCCCCACCCAGGTGCCTGCTCCAGCTCCCTCGAGCGCGCCCCCCTCCCGCCCCTACCTGTTTTCACCCCTTGTGGCTCCACCCCCGCCGGGCAGCTGGACCTTGCCCGGGGCCTTCTGATCTCCGAGGTCCAATTTCAGCCGGAATTGCCCAGCCCCGCCCCTTCCCTGGCAGGAGCACAGCGGAGAACTCTGTTCAGACACTGACCTACAGACAGTCGCAGGGACCCAGGACAACTGAGGCGCCCATGGCCGCGCCTGGCGAGCCCTGCGTGGAGCAGGAGGTGAGTGCCCCCTCATCACGCCCCACTCTCCTTTTCCAGGCTTGGTTTGGCTGCAGATCTCTCGGGCTGCAATCCTGGGGAGAGGAGAGACCCCCAAATTCCTGGACCCGGAAGCGAGGAGACTTACTTCAGGCCCCTAACTGCACGGGTTGGACCCCTTTCACCAAGCCGGCCCCCGATACTCCAGCTCTGTTTAAGGGGCCACCAGACCGCCCAGCTTCTAGGGGCTTTGACCCTTATTTGCGTAAAGCTAGTGGGTCCCCCAAGCTCTCCTACCCCCAGAGAGCACTTACCTCTCTGGTTTCTTTTCCCATTGCTCTTAGCAAAGGATTCCAGGGAGTGGAGTTCATGGGGGCGGGGAGTGGGTTACATCTCCCTGTAATACTGTTCATTACCTCCCAGCATTCTGAGGGCCAGGGAGGTGAAGCAATAGGCTGGTATGAATTGAGGGATCCTCTGTGCCTAGCCTTGTGCCCAACATGTGCCACACTGCTGTGAACTTTGCTGCTGCTAATCCATTTAATACAACTCATAGAGGTAGAGTCTCATCCCCCTTTTGCAGGGAAGGAAACTGAGGCACAGAGGTTAAAGTTTGCAGAGCCAGTGGGTTGTGAAACCAGGGAGAATAAAAAGACAGCAGAGAGAGAAGTGGAGAGGCCACATCCACTAAACTTCAAATTTCCTCTAAGGTTAGATAGGACCAGCAGAACTGCTGAGATAAAAACAACAGATGAAGCTGGGCACAGTGGCTCGTTGCCTGTAATCCCAGCACCTAGGAGGCTGAGTCAGGAGGATTGCTTGAGGCCGGAGTTCCAGACCAGTGTGGGCAGTGTAGTGAGACCTCTATCTCTACAAAACATTTAAAAAACAAACAAACAAAAATTATCCAGGCCAGGGGAGGGGCCTTATGCCTGTTATCCCAGCACTCTGGGAGGCCAAGGTGGGAGGATTGATGGAGCCCAGGAGTTCAAAGCTTTAGTGAGCTTTGATTGTGCCACTGCAGCCTGGGCAACGGACTCTGTCTCTAAAACATAAATTAAATAATAGTAAAAATAAATCACATCAGGATCACCAGTCGGACAAGCTTTGGGGTCAGATGAGCCTGGGTCAGAGTCAGCTCTGCTGCTTCCCATTTGTGTGGCCCTGAGGGAGGCAGTTCCCCTCTTGGTGCCTCAGTCTGCTGGTCTCTGAAATGGGGACAGTATGGCCTATGTCCTAGAGTTGTTATAAGGATTAACTGACAGTCCATGCCTAGCAATAATTATGGAGCCCAGGTCTCCTAGACCCCAGAGCCCAGTTCCCTGGGTTCAAATCCCAGCCCTTCCACTTCTCAGCTGGGTAAAGTCAGCCAAGCTACTCAACCTCTCTGATCCTCGGCTTCTTCATCTGCAAATCAATATGATAATTGCATCTACCTAGGGTTGATGTCAGGATTAAAGGAGTTGAGAATTACTAGGCATTCCAAAGAGTGCTTGGTACATTTCTGTGTAAATATTAGAGATCCAAAAAGTCGCCAGGCCCCCTGGGCAGGTGAGCTGGAGACCCCTGCCCTCTGCATTCCTGAGAGTCCTCCTGGTGTTCCCTCAGGTCTGGAACCAGACAGAGCCTCAACCTGCCGCCCCCAGTCTGCTGAGTCTGTGCTTCCTGAGAACAGCAGGAGTGTGGGTACCACCCATGTACCTCTGGGTCCTCGGCCCCATCTACGTCCTCTTCATCCACCACCATGGCCGGGGCTACCTCCAGATGTCCCCACTCTTCAAAGCCAAGATGGTACCTGCCATCCCTGGGAGCCTGGAACCAGGCAATGTTTGGGGAAGCAGGGGACAGGCTGGAGCCTGGTGGAGTCCTAAAGTAGACTCCTCCTATCAGGATGCAGGAGGGACTCTGTTCATCAAACAGGGCAATATTAGAGAGGCACCAGAGGCCAACTCAGTGGGACACAGTTCTCCCAAACAGATTTTGTAATTCCAAAAATCCATGCTTGCACAAACACACACACACATTCCCATGTTCCCAGACAGTTGATAACTACCATAATCTGGCATTTTCCAAAACGTACCATGTAGACTCTCAGATCCACAAGGTAATTTTCGGACCACATTAGGATGAGCCTTTTAAAAGTCATGCATTGATTTTTCTGTTTCCCCACTGGCTGTGTTATAGAACAATTTCGTAAGTGGTACATATTTACTTCAGTGTGCTGCGTAAGCACTGGCATTCCAAGTGTGAGCCTTTCTGCTCATCCATCCTCTTCTCTGTTCTTGTAGGCTCTAAAGAATGTTCTTCAGAGTTCATTCCTTCTTCTGCCATAGTGTTAATGTTTGCATCGTCACCCACCACCAACCCAGGGGTTGGCAAACTTAAGGAGCCGCTCATCGCCTAGTACTTGAGGCTTTGTCAGCCAGACAGGCTTCCTTCCAAACACTCAGCTCTGCAGCATGAGCACAGTAGGCACAATCGTAGACAACAGTCATAACTGTGTTTGTTTCTTTTTTCTTTCTTTTTTTTTTGAGATGGAATTTCACTCTTGTCACCCAGACTGGAATACAATGGTGTGATCGTGGCTCACTGCAACCTCTACCTCATGGATTTAAGTGATTCTCCTGCCTCAGCACCCTCCACGAGCAGCTGGAACTACAGGCTGTCACCACCACCCCCAGCTAATATTTGTGTTTTTTGTACAGATGGGGTTTTACCATGTTTGCCAGGCTGGTCTCAAGTTCCCAATCTCAAGTGATCCACCCGCCTCGGCCTCTCAAAGAGCTGGGATTCCAAGCGTGAGCCCCCATGCCCAGGGAGGGGATGTTTTTTAATGTACCACTTTTTAAGTATTCCATTAAGGATGGTTCAGTTGAGCTGTTTGACTTGGACATCTTTGTACCTTCTCATCTTGCTCCTTGTCATCTAGTTACCTATTCTGATATCTCCTAAGCAGGGACATCGTGGGTGCCATGAAATGTTGATGCATCATGATGTTTCTTCACTTCTCATTTCTTCATTTTTTTTCATTTCTTCTAGCTCCAAGCTGGGCCAGCTCCTTTTCCTATGAAATCTAGCAGAAACTATGGGATAGACGTGGTGGCTCTTTCATCTTTTTAGATTACCCATTGCTTCTATCAAAATCCCAGTACATGTTTTCTTTCTATTTTATTTGCAGAAATCAGAAAAAACAAATTCTACAAAGAACTTGGAAGATGTTCTTTCAGGCTGGGCGTGGTGGCTTTTTCAGGTCACCTCTTCTGCAAGAAAGGCTCTTGACAACTGGGTAAGTTTTGTTTGTTTGTTTTCCTTGCTTTTGGGCATAGTCTGCCAGATGAGGATGTGGATGTATTTTTCTCCCCACAGCTCTGTGCTTAAGCCTTGGTAGAGTGGAAGGTTGCCTACAAGCTGCACAGGTAGGTCATTGTGTTGGATTTTTTTTTTTTTTTTTTTTTTTGAGCCAGAGTCTCACTCTCACTCAGGCTGGAGTGCAGTGCTGCAATCTCAGCTCACTGCAACCTCCACCTCCTGGGTTTAAGCAGTTCTCTGGCTCAGGCTCCTGAGTAGCTGGGATTACAAGCATGTGCCGCTATGTCTGACTAATTATGTATTTTTAGTAGAGACAGAGTTTCTCCATGTTGGTCAGGCTGGTCTCAAACTCCTGACGTTAGGTGATCCGCCCACCTCAGCCTCCCAAAGTGCTGGAATTACAGGCATGAGCAACTATGCCCTGTTGTGATGATGGTCTTTTGTGTGTGTGTGTGGTTGTAGGAAGCACCCTACAGCCTAGAACACTTTAGTAAGACCTTATTGCTTATGCAGTTAAAGAGACACTGAGCTACAGGTTTCCTGTACCCTGTCACAGGTCACTCTGTGTAGGGCTTCCCCAGGCTGTTGGGAGCTGGGAGACTGCTAGGTAGGGGCAGGCCCCAGAGTGGAAAGCATGGTACCTCCCAGAAGCCTCAGAGTGTGCAGCGGGCTTCAAGACGGCCCTCAGGGTGAGCAGAGAGGTCAGGAGTATAGGCTTAAACCAGGGCCTAGGGGCTACATTCCCTGAGACGAATCAGGCCTAGCTCTCTGTGGAGTTTTCAGAACAAAGGCTAGGTGTGGGGAGCAGCACTGTGGAGAGGGCAGGAGGCATGTCTCTAGGTATTGCTGGAACTGGGGAAAGATTGTCAGAATGGTTGGGGTATTGTTTCTATAATCTGTGGCAACTGGGCCTTCCTGCATGAAAGTGGGAGGTTGAGTATCCTTTATGGAAGGGTCAGGCACCAAGGCTAGGCTGGAGTAGCCAGCTCCAGTGGCTCTACTGGGGTGACCAAAGTAGGCAAGGAAAGCCACATGTTGCTCACACCCCACTTTCATCAACTGTGTTCATGCAGGACAAGGCAGTGAGCTGCCCAACAGGGATGGGGTCATTTCTCAGGCCTAGGTATTGATGTTATCTTAATTCTTTTTTTTTTTTTTGAGGCGGAGTTTCGCTCGTTACCCAGGCTGGAGTGCAATGGAGCGATCTCGGCTCACCGCAACCTCCGCCTCCTGGGTTCAGGCAATTCTCCTACCTCAGCCTCCTGAGTAGCTGGGATCACAGGCATGTGCCACCATGCCTAGCTAATTTTTTGTATTTTTAGTAGAGATGGGGTTTCACCTCGTTGACCAGGATGGTCTCGATTTCCTGACCTCGTGATCCACCCGCCTCGGCCTCCCAAAGTGCTGGGATTACAGGGTTGAGCCACTGTGCCCGGCCATCTTAATTCTTTAGTCTGGAAAAACTTGGTTGGGGATGGGGGATGGTAAGCATTTCCTTAACCAAACCCACTCTTCGAGTCTCCTAGTGGTATCCCTTCATCGACCGATCTTCAGAGAATAACCTGGCTGCTCACACTTCTCCAGCTTTTCCCAAAAGGCACTTGTTACATGGCTGCTGAGGGGAGGGGGAGGGTTCCTGGGAGGGGGTCTGGTGGTGGCACCCAATCTACAGGGTCCAGAGTCAGGGTGGAAGTAGTCAGGGACTAGTAGCTGCCATAGTACAGGCACATGGCCAGGCCAATGAGCAATGTGGCCAGGAAGAAGGCAGCTGTGAGCTGCAGCCGCAGCAGGACTGCTGAGAGCGCTGCGTTGACCACCAGCGAGCAGGCCGCCACCGAGAGGCGCGTGATGCTGCTCCAGCGCTTCATGACAGCAGACATGGGCAGTCCACTTAGCGCCTGGCTCAGCACCACGAGCGCTGCCCATCCTGAGAAACCTTCCAGGAGGCTGGGGCCGCCGCCAGCATGCAGACCTAGATTCAGGAGCACACCGAAAGTGTAGAGGAAGAGGTTCTGAAGTGCCAGGGGCAGCTGCTGTCGCTTCATGAGCAGCTCTGTGTACACTGAAGACAAGCTTGAGATGAGGCAGTACAGGATGAGAAGCAGCAGGCACAGTGGAGTGATATGCAGGGGCACGGGGCTGGCAGCAGCTGCTGGAGGGGGGCTGGGAAGGGTCTTCCCAGGAACTTGAAGGCCCCCTACTGCATAGCAGGCTCCCGCAGCCATGATGGTCATTTTTAAGGATGTTTTTGTTTTAACATGAAGCTTTGAGTGTCTAGTAAAGAACGTGGTGGTTTAATTCTTCTTCAAGTCAGTTCTTTCTCTGTCTTCTAGATAGGAAATGAGGAGAAAGCAGAGACACATGAGTGAGGAGCCAGCCCAGAAACGCCTGTGCCTGAAGAACGCCTTCTGGCGAGGTAGGAGCTCCCGTGAAGGCAGCCGCTTAGTTTCTGCTGCACAGTCCACACACCCTGCTTCTCCTTTTGCGGGTGAGGGCTCCGATGGGGTTCTCCTTTTCCAGGGAAATTGTCATGTTTCCTGGAAACAGTTCCAAGAACTTATGGAGAGAACAGTTGTCCCACTGCGGGGCAGGATCCCATTTTTCTCAGGTGCTCTAGCTGAATGGCTCTTGGCTGGTCCTGTGTGAATGGTGGAGCTCAGGCCCCTCCACTGACTGTAGACTCTGCCACCCCGACGTCTTTGTTACTTTTAACTGCAAAGATGAGCCTACAAGGCCAATGGACCAGCTCCCCTTCCCACCTTGAGTCAGTGGTGGTACCTCCACCGCCTTCTCCAGCTGACGATCAGAAACCGCAGACATCTCCACCAACCAAATGTCCTCTGAGATCTTACACAGATTCTCTATTAGAGCATCATGTGGAACCTCCTTTACCTCTTTCAGCTGTTCGGTTTCTGGAACCTGCACCACCTACTTCAGCTGCGTCTCCTGTGTTACTTGATCAACCTCATCCAGCTCTCCGTCCTAAGGTACATGAACCACCTCATCCTGCTGTTTGTCCCGGAGACCCCATAAAACTTCATCAGGTGTCTGTCCTGTGGAACCCCATCCCACTCATCCAGCTCTCTGTCCTGAGGTACCTCAATAACCTCATCCTGCTGTCTGTCCATTTGGACCCCATACAGTTTATTCAGGTGTCTCTCCTGTGGAACCCCATCCAGCTCATCCAGCTGTCTGTCATGGGGGAACTTCAAAAACCTCATCCTGATGGCTGTCCAAGGGGACCCCATACAACTTATTCAGGTGTCTGTTCTGTGGAACCCCTTCCACCTAGTTCAGGTGTCTGTCCTGGAGGACTTCAACCACCTCATCCTGCTGTCTGTCCAGGGGGACCTCATACAACTTATTGAGGTGTCTGTCCTGTGAAACCCCATGTACCTCATCCAGTTGTCTGTCCTGAGGTAGGTCAACCAACTCATCCTGGTATCTGTCCAGGGGGACCCCATACAACGTATTCAGTTGTCTCTCCTGTGGAACCACATTCACCTCGTTCAGGGTGTCTGTCCTTGGGGACTTCAACAACCTCATCCTGCTGTCTGTCCAGGGAGACCACATACAGCTTTTTCAGGTGTCTGTCCTGTGGAACCCCATCCACCACATTCAAGTGTCTGTCCTGGAGGTCTTCAACTACCTCATCGTGCTGTCTGTCCATGGAGACCCTATGTAAGCTTTCCAGGTGTCGGTCCTGTGTAACCCAATCTATCTTGTTCACATGTCTGTCCTGGGGGACTTCAACCTCCTCATCCTGCCATCTGTCTAGGGGAACCCCATATAACTTATTCAGGTATCTGTCTTGTGGAACCCCATCCACCTTGTTCAGGTGTCTGTCCTGGGGGACTTCAACCACCTCATCCTGCTGTTGGTCCAGGTTGACCACATACAACTTATTCAGGTATCTGTCATGTGGAACCTCTTTCACCTAGTTCAACTGTCTGTCCTGGGGGACTGCAACTGACTCAACCTGCCACCTGTCCAGGGGGACCCCATACAACTTATTCAGGTGTCTGTTCTTGGAATGCCATCCACCTTATTCAGGTGTCTGTTCTGAGGGACTTCAACCACCTCATCCTGCCATCTGTCCAGGGGGACCCCATACAACTTATTCATATGTCTGTCTTGAGGAACATCATCCAACTCGTTCAGGTGTCTGTTCTGGGGACTTCAACCACTTCATCCTGCTGTCTGTCCTGGGGGACCCCATACAACCTATTCAGTTGTCTGTCCTGTGGAACCCCATCCATGTCATTCAGGTGTCTGTCCTGGGGGACTTCAGACACCGCAATCTGCCATCTGTCCTGTGGAACCCCATCCAGCTCATCCTGCTGTCTGTCCTGAGGTACCTCAATAACCTCATTGTGCTGTCTGTCCAGTTGGACCTCATACAATTCATTTAGGTGTCTGGCATGTGGAACCCCATCCACCTCAATCAGGGGTCTTCAACCTCCTCATCCTGGTGTGTGTCCAGGGGAACCCCATACAACCTATTCAGGTGTCTGTCCTGTGGAACCCTGTCTACCCCGTCCAGGTGTCTGTCCTGGGAGACTTCAACCACCTTATCCTGCTGTCTGTCCAGGGTGACCACAAACAACTTTTTCAGATGTCTGTCTTGTGGAACCCCATGCACCTCGTTCAGGTGCCTGTCCTGGGGTACCTCAACCACCTCATCATGTCTGTCCATGGAAACCACATACAACTTACCCAGGTGGAGTCTGTCCTGTGAAACCCCATCCAGTTCATGCAGCTGTCTGTCCTGAGGTACCTCAGTAACCTCATTGTGCCGTCTGTCCATGGGGACCCCATACAATGTATTCAGGTGTCTGTCCTGTGGAACCCCATCCACCGCATTCAGATGTCTGTCCTGGGGAACTGCAACCACCTCATCCTGCTGTCTGTCCAGGGGACCCCATACAACTAATTCTGTGTCTGTCCTTTGGATCCCCATCCACCTCATCCAACTGTCTGTCCTGAGGTACCTCAATCATTTCATCGTGCTCTCTGTCCAGGGAGACCACAAACAAGTTATCCAAGTGTCTGTCCTGTGGAATCCCATCCACCTCCTTCAGGTGTCTGTCCTGGGGGACTTCAACCACCTCATCCTGCCAACTGTCCAGGGGGACCCCATACAACTTATTCAGGTGTCTGTCCTGTGGAACCCCTTCCACCTAGTTCAAGTGTCTGTCCTGGATGACTTCAGTGGACTCATCCTGCCGTCTGTCCAGGGGGCCCCCACACAACTTATTCAGGTGTCTGTCCTTTGGGACCCCATGCACCTCATCCAACTGTCTGTCCTGAAGTATGTGAACCACCTCATCATGCTGTCTGCTGAGGGGGACCCAATACAACATATTCAGGTGTCTGCCCTGTTCAGCAACATCCACCTCATTCATGTGTCTGTTCTAGGGGACTTCAACCACATCATCCTACTGTCCGTTTAGGGGGCCCCCTTACAACTTACCCAGGTGTCTGTCCTGTGAAACCCCAACCAGCTAATGGAGCTGTCTGTCCTGAGGTAATTCAATAACCTCATCATGTTCTGTATCCAGGGTGACCCCAAACAACTTATTCAGGTGTCTGTCCTTGGAATCCCATCCACTTTGTTCAGCTGTCTGTCCTGAGGAACTTCAACCACCTCATCCTACTGTCTGTCTTGGGGGACCCCATACAACTTATTCAGTTGTCTGTCCTGTGGAACCCCAACCACCTCATTCAGGTGTCTGTTCTGGGGGACTACAACCGACTCATCCTGTCATCTGTCCAGGGGGACCCCATACAACTTATTCAGGTGTCTGTCCTGTGAAACCCTATCCAGCTCATCCAGCCATCTGTCCAGAGGTACCTCAACCACCTCATCGTGCTGTCTGTCCAGGGGAACCCAATACAATTTATTTAGGTGTCTGCCCTTTTCAACCACATCCATCTCATTCATGTGTGTGTCCTGAGGGACTTCAACCACATCATCCTGCTGTCTGTCCACGGGGACCTGATACAACTTATTCAGGTGTCTTTTCTGTGGATCCCCATTCACCTCATTCAGGTGTCTGTGCTGGGGGACTTCAACCACTTTATCATGCTGTCTGTTCAGGGGGCCTGCTTACAATGTATTCAGGTGTCTGTCCGTGGAACCCCATCCACCACATTCAGGTGTCTGTCCTGGAGGACTTCAACCACCTCATCCTGCTGTCTGTCCAGGGGAACCTGATACAACTTATTCAGTTGTCTGTCCTGTGGAAACCCAGGCACCTTGTTCAGCTGTCTCTTCTGGGGGCCCCATCCACCTTATCCCTCTATCTGTCCTAGGGGACTTCTTCTTCCTCTAGTTGTAAGGCCTCTAGGACCTCAGCCTTCTCCGCCGAGTGGTCTCTGGAACCTGAGCCACCTTCTGTACCTTAGTGGCCTCTGTTCCCTTAGCTATCATCTTCACATGAGTGGCATCCGGAACCTCAGCCACCTTCTCTACCTTAGTGGCCTCTGTTCTGGTAGCTATCATCTTCACATGAGTGGCTTGTGAAACCTCAGCCACCTTCTGTACCTTAGTGGCCTCTGTTCCCTTAGCTATCATCTTCACTTGAGTGATCTCTGGAACCTCAGCCACCTTCTCTACCATAGTGGCCTCTGTTCCCTTAGATATCATCTTCACATGAGTGGCCTCTGGAACCTCAGCCATCTTCTCTACCTTAGTGGCCTTTGGTTCCTTAGCTCCCGTCTTCACATGAGTGAATTCTCGAAACTTAGCCACTGTTTCCAGTTTGGTGACCTCTGGCCCCTTAGCCAGTATCTTGACATGAGTCTTCTCTGGTACTTAATCTCTATTCATGACCTCTCTTCCCTCAGCCACCTCCTCCACCTGGGTCCCTTCTAGTATATCAGCCACCTCCTTCACTTGGCCAACCTGCTGTGTCAACTGATGCCTTCACCTGAGTGTCCTCTGTGACTTCAGCCCCCTTCCTCTACTCACATGGCCTCTGGGAGCTCAACCAAGTCCTCCAAATGCACCATTTGATGTGTTGGTTTGAACAGTATAAAGTTGTTTGTAAACAGAATTCATCTCTTCTATTTTGATTGAATAGAAGGAAATGTCACAGGTGGTACTTGCTGAGATCCTGGTCACTTTTCTCAGGTTTCTGAGAGTACACAGTCGGTTGCATTATTTCCTCATCATGAGTTTGGCAGCAGGTATCTCTTGTAGATAAAGGAAGACTTTTTATTTTTTGCAGGGATAGAGTCTCACTGTGTCACCCAGCTGGAGTGCAGTGGTGCAATCCTGGCTCAGTGCAACCTCCATCTCCAGGGTTCGGGTGATCCTCCCACCTCAGCCTCCAGAGCAGCAGCTGGGACTACAGTCACACACCACCACGTTTGGCTTGTTTTTGTTTTTGTTTTTGTTTTTCAGATGAAGTCTCACTCTGTTGCCAGGCTGGAGTTTAGTGGCACGATCTTGGCTCACTGCAGCCTCTGCCTCTCGGGTTCAAGTGGTTCTCCTGCCTCAGCTTCCCAAGTAGCTCCACGGATGGTCC